TATTCGGAATACCCTACTTATGTATTTTTAATTCTTACGTGATTTTGAGTACATTCGCCTCAGCCGAACTACCCATGATTTCAATTTCGCACTAAAATATATTGAATGCATAAGCTGCATGAACTGCCTCAGCTCGAGAGATGAGGTACTTCATGCGGTCTCATGCATCGGAAGAGACGGAGTCATGCAATGCAGCGAGTGTGCATAAAGAGAAACGGAACGAATTTCTATGCTTCTATGCGCATTATACAAGAAACGGAACGCATCCTATGAGTGCCATCCAACAAGCGACACAAATGACACAATGTGACAATGGATTATTACATCCTTGTTGTTTGCCAATGTTAAACAAAGATGACATGATCACTGTATCGCACTGTGTATAGATGCGTTCAGGGAGATGCTATTCGCGTTATTTAACGCTACAAACTATTCGCGGAGCTAACACACGCTACGAACACAATCATGACGTTACAGTAGCGTGTTACGTCACAACTGCGTGCTATCACGCTATTTTTTCCGAGGTAGTAGCATTTACAGATCCCTGAACGACTGTAGCGTAGCATTGGTAGCGTTTAACATTCGTCAAAGTTAGATTAATATTTGAGGGGATTTTGTTCTCGAGTAGCATCAAAGAGTAGCACCTTAGAATTTCGTAGAGTAAACGTAAGTACGTAATGTGTGAATTTCAAATTTTATCATAAATACAATCTCAATTTTAATCTCTATTAGCTTGCCATTAGGCTGGAGTGAATGTAATTCTTGCTTGTGTCATCTTTAATTTTTCAAAGTTTCTGCGAAGTTCAACTTGTGCATTTGATTTCATTATAAATGTGAAAATCAGAGGTATCTTGTTATGGCAATTTTTAATTTCCATGTACGGAAAAAAATTACTATTGCAGTATAGCGCGGCAGGGTATTCCGCAGATGCTTAAGACCCTTATTAGATGTAGATGCTTCTTTTTTTGAAATCAACAACGGCTCAAAGATTCTTCCTTTTATTTGATTAATTTACTTAGTGTAAATAGGTATGCAATAGGCACAGGCAATAGGCATAAGGAATAACGAGCCTTCCAATCAGAGCTTTAGGATATAATATCGAACTTACACTCCAGTTGCCTATGTCTATTGCCTATGACTATTGTGTTTAAGCCTTAACTATTAATTTTTTGATCTAGTTTACATTGTTTATTTATTTTGGCTTTGCAGCAAGCTATCATAGAAATTGCAATTAAGATTGCATTCTGTTATTCACTATCAGAAAATAAAAAAATTTACGTTACAAATACTTTATAAAACCTTAAAAATTTTAATTATAGGGAAAAGTTTGATTGCTGATTGAAAACACTTCCTTAATTTAATCTCGACGAATATATCTCTCTAGTTAACGCTACGCTAAGATCATTCATGGAGCTTGCTAACATTATCGCGCTATTGGCTTCAAGAACAGCGTCCATAGAATAATGTCTCTCCAAACGCACCCTATATATCTATTATTTCCGAGCAAGCAAGACGTTGATTACTGTTGCGCCAACTTCCGCCGCGCGATAAGCGTTGCTGCAAGAACCATATGTCGAGATTTTTACTTTGGAAAAATCATTTAATTTCTCAATTTCTGATTCATCGCGGCGACAGCAAATGACAGTTGGCGGCAGCGCCGTGCATGACTAGCATTGTTCGGTTTGACTCTCGACTCCTGGGAGCTGCTTGAGATCGCTCCGAACGAACCCAGCATATTTGAAATGTAGGATTTACACTACATCCATTATCATTACGATGAATATCGAACGTCGTATACTCGTATGATGAATGTCGTACGTAATGATTACTACGGTTTTAAGGCTGTCGCACATAAAATTTCGCAACAGTGATCGTAAGGTGGGTTCACACTTTGATGAAAAAACGGAAAAACGGAAGCTAATCAAAACTCGCGGAAAGACAGAAGCAGACAAGCGAATGTACCGCCTACTATTGCGAGTTCCGTTTAGTTTTTGCTTTTCTACTTTCCACTTTTTCATCAAGATGTGAACCCGGCCTAAGACGTAAACTTAAATCGATGAAGAGAATATTGCTTTAGGTTTACGTAATCTAACGGAAATGAAAATAACAGCAATAAACAGTAAAATAACAGTAAGAAAATAACAGAAACTGTATTCCACAATATATGATTTCTGATAGATTGAAATTCTTATTTTCTGTTCTCTGTTCCTTGTTCCTTTTATTGTGTGGAGCCTTTAAACTTATCCTCACAATTAAGTGAATTTCAACGTTGAAATTCGCCTTATGAACAAATTTACAGTTATTTCTATTTCCGTTAGAGTATGTAGAGTATATAGTACCTAAAGCAGTATCCTGATTGACTTATTGGCTTAAGTTCACGTCTTATGTCTCCGGCACACCAGCGCGATGTTCGTCGCGCGTGACACAAAGTGTAGCTTTATCGATATTCACATTCTAAAAGTGTATGTTTTGGATGTCATTGGATATCGCGTGTCACGCGCTATGAACATTGCGCTGGTGTGCCGGAGGCATAAGACATGAACTTAATACAACAAATCACTGATGTTCCGTCGTTTTAAGGTGCAATTTTACGCAGCGTCAAAATACTAGCAGCTCTCCCCATTCTGTATGACCTCTTACAAGCTATCATTTTGCTGCTTGAAGTTCAGAGAAACCCAATTATGATAGAAAGATAACATGTGGGGTTTATGACGAATCATTGGATTTCCAATCTGATCGATCAGGAGCGCGATTCCGTACTGTCTTTACGCTATTCAGTTGTCGGTGTTGTTATGCAGATATTTTATATGGTGAAAAAGCTGCGAAACGACATCGACAACTGTCGGTAGGCATGTAAAGATAGGTCTGTTCGCGTTGCATGAAATTCTCAAATATTTTTGCACT